AATAGTTCTTCCAACTTGCGTAACTTGCGTAAAAAACGTGACGTAAGTCGTGCTCGCCAGAGCCGGCGCATTTGGCTCTGGTGCTGCGGGAATCGAAAAAAGAATCGTTCAGCAAGCTGCCAAACGATGCCATGGAATCGGAAAATACGGAACCGGTTCTGAACAGGAACCGGTTTTCGATTCCCATCCCTAGTGTGTATATATATATATATACAGTATATATATATATATATATATATATATATATATAATTGTAACTGTAGTGTGTAACAAAAGTAATTTCCCTCTGGGATTATTAAAGTATTTCTGATTCTGAGCGCTAAATTTAATATGAGGCATAAAAAAATCCCCACCATCAAAGGAAAAGGAAAGGTACATTGAAGCGGCATAAAGGCAAAGCAAATCATAAAAGAGAGTAAGAATAATACATTTAAATGACACTGTATTGAGTTTTTGAATTCACAAATCTCAAGTCAAGTAATTTTGCTTGTAAGGTAAAAGAAATATTACTTTAACTGGTGAAATTACTTCCTTATGGCGACCAAAACACTTTAGAAAACACTTAGTTTGCATTGTATCAAATGCAATTTGCTCTTTATAAGCGGATTAGACTCCATAGAGCATTACTCTTTATGCAAAACTGAATAGAGTAGAGACTGAGCTACCAGAGCCATGCCCTCCCTGTTTATCACAGGTGTTAAACCATAAGGTGGTCCAGTGTTTTCTCTGGGATTTTTCCATTTTAAATGTGGTGCTGGGCTAACGGGGGTGGGGGGGGCTGAGTTCATGCATATCTGACACACAGATACGCTTTATCACACAGCAGTAATAAAGGTGATGCAGCCTCTCAGCTTTCTAAGATACTTGTCTGGGTCCAGCCATCATTGACTCTGCTGTCCAGAACTTCTACTTTATCTAAATATTTCCTCATTATTATGAAGTAAATTTTCCATTCACTGTCTTTCATCTCTCATTAGTTTGTGCTGTAATTATGTAAAATGTCCTTGGTAATCATTTTTTTCAACAATTTTGTTTCAAGCTTTGTTATTCCGTGGAAATATTTCACAGTGTTGAAAACATCTTATATTTATGGTAAACAAACTGAATATTCAGTGAAAATGTATAAAATTACACTTCGTTACTACACTTTGTAATTGTACTTAAGTACACTTTTTAGGTATCTAACCTTTACTCCATTACCTATTTTTCTTGTTACTTCTATTCATTACATTTTTATACAAGTATCTGTACTTTCTATTCCTTACATTTTTAAAAGAAACGTTACTCGGTACTCTTGGCTTCGGTTTAATGCAGAGGTCACGGATTAGCGGAGCGCGGTCCCGATCCGGACCCACCTGCTGGCTAATCCGGACCCAACCTGATTTAAAATATTTATAATTTACCAAATGTTTTCTGAGGACAGTGTCTAAACATCACTTTTGCCGCTTCTCCTGT